TGCTTTGTCTAGTTTGAAAGTTGGTGCTAGATACCCTGAAAACAAATGGTACCTAGGAAAAAGTATTACTTAAGGTCACAAAAAAATATGACTGGAAGGGTTCTCATGAGGTCATCCAGTCCAACCTCCTGGTCATGTACAAGTATAGCATTTCCAATTGCTTTTAAACAGGGATTTCAACTGAAAGAATATACAGCCACTGCTGTGGGTGGGAGAGAGAAGTGAAACAGCTACAAGAATCCAACTATCAGCAGTCTGCCATCAGACTTGTGTCTCTGCGCAGAGTCCATGTCAGCAAATATAATTCACTATACTGCCATCGCATAATAGGTGTATTGCAGTACATGCCAAATGAGCATCATAGCCAAAATCAAGTTTCCTGCTGGTATTTATACATAAATCTTCACTGTGCAAGGACTTCTTTCTTTTTAAACTGTGCATTTGGATACTCTTCTCAATACTGTCTATGCATAGTTATTTAGCTAGCCATCCATCACAGTGCTGGACCTAATTTAAAAAGTCGTACAATTTAACAAGCTGGTTGATAACAATTTATTCTTTCTGTTCTGTCTCAAATGATTTTTTTAAGGGATTGGCTGGAGGAATCAACAGCACAAAAACCCAAGGAGTTCCCCCTGCCCCAGTATGAACAGCAACATTGGCACTAGAAAAGAGTCTACGGTAAAATGGTGATCATTACAAAATAGGGAGCAACAGTTCCATATGCTATGACAAGTCAGTATAGCAGTCTCCCAAGTTGAAGTTGCCTCTACTTCAGCACCAATCCCTTTCATAGTCTTATATAGATTTTTAAAGGCAAGCATAGGAAAGGAGAAAGTCCATTGCCTCTCTCTTACTGAATGTGTCAGATCTTTGTTTTCACTGGGTGTGTATTTGCACCGGCTTAAAATTACTGCGTAGTAAGTTATTGCAGAACAAGTGGGAACAGGCCAGAATCTACATGAGCAGGCATTAAGGTGCATTTAACACTATGTGTGGACAAACTTGGGACTAAAGTTAGTCCTAAGTCAGTCCACACACAGCGTTACTGCACCTTACATGTGTGTTACTGTGCAGTAACTAATTGGGCGTAAACGTGATACCTGCATAATGCTTGTATCATGCAGATATCATATTTACGGCCAAGTCAATCTAAGTCGCCGTATTTATTGCGTAGCACAGGTGCGCACTTGTCGACACATGCCAGTATTGCGCAGTAATTCTGGTTACTGCACAGCAAATGTGCATGTGTAGATGCACCCACTCAGTTTGGCTGTACAGAAATACCAGAGCAATTCTTCTGTTGCGAAGAACTCAGAAAGACTGCTCCGAACTTCTAGTTGAAATCTCTAGGTCTACCTTGTGAACTGCATTTGTGCCCCTAACCATGCTAATAGTGCCTGGCACCCTCAAGAGACTCTCAAGGCACCCTAGAATGCCACTGCACCCTGGCAGAGGGTCCCTGCTTGACACCAATAACCCTTTACCCCCTGCAATGTGTGCCTTGTTCCACCTTGCACCTTCTCTGTGATTTCCTCTCAGGTACAAGACAGGCCTTCAACTTCACCCTGCTTAAAAAAGAGTCCCACCTTCGTGCTCTCAACTGCAGGGTGCCTCACACTCCCCCATGGGGCATTGCAGGCATGGCTAAGCACAGGCAGGCACATGCCCCGGTGGGCCCCACCCTGCAGCTCTCCTATAAAATCTAAAGCATCTGGACTGGGAGAAAGGGGAGAACCTCCACAGGGCACCTCATCCAAGCCCCTACCTGAGACAGGAGACCATCCATCCCCCCAGGGCGGGTCACGTGGCTGCTCTCCTGCCCTGCACACGTGCAGGGCGAAAGGGCAGAGCCGAGCTCAGCCCTGCCACAGCCTCACTAGCCCCGCCCCCAGGAGGAGGCTATCGCGAGAATTCCAGACCCCACCCCCCGTTAGCTTTCTCTGAAGCAGGCGGGCGAGCAGCCCCCACCCTCCGCTGCGGCTCCTTTAAGGTAGAATTCCGGTGAGGCCCTAGTTCTCGCGAGACTAGGACGACGGAACCCCGCAGCCTGCAGCGCCAGTGGGTGCGGCGGCTCCAATGGCGGAGGGTGGAGAGGGGGATGGGAGAAGAAGAGAGGAGCCCCAGCCCCGGCCCCGGCCCCGGCCCCTTCGGGAGGCAGCGGTGAGCATTATCGCCGGGTAACACCTAGCGCTTACACCGCGGGGAGCAACTGTTACCGAGTGGGAGAAGGCTCCGCCCCCGAGGCGGCTGCGCGCGCAGCGCCCTTCACGTGCGCTCTGTGACGTCGGCAGCAGGCAGAAGCGCTGGGGCGGGGCTGGGTGGAGAAGGGGGAACGCTGTACCCCTCCCCTTCTCTCCACGGTTGCAGTGGCAGAACAGAGTGCTGCTGGGTGCCCCCTGGGGACCGTCTCAGGGTTTTGCTGCCTTCTCACCCCTGGGTGCAGTTTTAACACCTTTGGTACCTTTTCCATGGAGGGGACCGGTGACTTAGGCCACTGACTTAGGTTAAAGTCCTACCGCCAGTAAAGGAGTGATCCAAGCATGATCCGGGAAGGAAGGGACCATGGGTCAGGGTCACATGTGCCAGTTGCCGGGCTGTGTCCAGAGGCGATAAAGCACGTAGTAAATTGATGGGCAGCGGGTTAGATTCATGGTGAGCACTTCCAAATCGGTTGGGTGTAAAGTGTTGCGCAACAGTGCCAAGGTTTGCCAACAGTTAGCCTCCCTTTGACGAAGCCTTGTGCTTGTTTCCCCGGTCGGTGGGTGGTTGTCTTTCCTAACCAGCATATTTTGTTTGCAGAAAGCAACATGCGAGGCTTCAAGACGTAGCATGGAGGGAGTACAAACTGCAGCAGTACAGTTATGAACAGCACCGTCGGCATTTCTTGACTCAGAAAAGGGTCTACAGTAAAATGGTGATCTCGGTCGTGATTGGTGCTCTGCTTCTAAAAAGGGAATGGCTGGTTTCTTTTCCTTCCGTCTGTTAGCAGGTGATGCAAACTCATTGACTTCCCCGTTATGATTCGCTCTTCATGATTTAATACATTGGTGTCACAGCCATCTGCGCTTGTAGCAAGATGTGTGAAGATACTGGAGGTAAATTAATATTTATTTGCCTTTTTGGAGGGTGCTGGGTTTAATCCATATCTGTAGAATGCAGACATAAAATAAGTGCAAAGTACTCTAAGACCGTGGCAAAACACAAGTTGAATGTTTTATTCACTTTGTTGGTAATTGAGCATAGAACGCTACTTAATTTTCTGATGCAGTGTTTTTTCTATCAGAAAATACTGATTTGTTCGAAGTTATGCACTTAGCATAAATATTGGTTTGATGACATTTTGAGTCAAGGAAGAAAAAAATACATTTATTCCAGTAAGGTCAAAAATTCTGTTTTGACATCCTTAGTAAAATGTATTTTGCCTCTTGCTTTTGTGCTGCACTTCCATTTAAATACCTGTATTTACAAAACTTAAAATGTAGGATTTGGAATGAAATCTTTCCGTTGATTCAGAATGGTTTCTTTTGAAATCTTTTTTTGTTTGAAATAGAAAAGCTTAAAGGGTTGTGGTATAAAATGGTAGAACTCAGTGTGGATACAGTTAGACCAATATAAATGTGCTTTTATTAATGTATCGTACAGAAAAGGGAATAATTCTTATATTGGTATATGTACTTTTATAGTGGTAAAACTGTGTCTATGCTCAGCATTGTCTCAATATCGTATCCCTAACTAAAAGAGCTATAAGTTGCAAAACCTGTTTATGGATCAGGCTGTAGTGAATCATCAATAATATCTGCAGTTTTTTTATGGTGCTACCATATTGGATTTTGTCACAAGGATGATGTTATTTCCATTACCCTTACCTTCTGTTCCTCTTTCCTCTGATTTAATTATACTCAGTTGTTTCATATTGTGTTTGAAGCCATTTGTGGGATGAGCTGTAATCTTTCAGTATATTAATACTATGATTTGCACAGTAGGATCCTAACCTGACTAAATGTTGGACTTTTACCGCAATACAGATAATTAGCGTTCATAAAAATCTCTTTAGCAATCAAAGTTTTTTGAGTCACACTTCGTTGTTAGCATTCTTCTGGCCCTATACACTCTTCATATATCTGGAAAAGTTGTTTTAGCTTGTTTTAAAAGAAAGGTGCTCCACGCTCAAATAGTATTTTAACTGCAAGTTTTCTGTTTCTTTGTTAGGCATCATATCTAATACCACTGTAATTGAATGACTGCTAGAATATTTTCTCTTTTTTCAGGAGACTTTCAGATTTTAAAAATTTTAACAGACTGCTGTGTATTGTCACTTTATGTATAATTACAGTATTTTACTTCATCAGTTTTAGTTCCCAATTTTGCATATACGTTTTAGGTAGAGTGCAGTTCATCCTTTTCGTTAGGTACTTGAAACATGATGTATCTAATGGTAGCAAGGACACTATTTAGTTAAAGATATGTCATTCTAATTTGTAACTAATTCCTGTCCTGAAAATGTATAGACCTTGCAGGAGCCAGGGATAACCACCAAGGAGCCATCAGGAGAATATTAACTTGTGGGTTTTCACATTATGAGAGTGGTCTGGGGAGAGGCCAGAGGGTTATATTTCTACTGAGAATCCAAGGAGAAGAACAGATGGCTAGCAGAAAGTGAATTTTTACTTAAGTGTTGGAGTCAGTGCAGAAGAGTGCCTAGGAAGGTATCTTTTCATTGCTTTGAAGTAGAACTCTCTACTGTTGTTCAAGCCTCTTTATTTGGTGCTCCTTCCCTGTGTAGAGTTCATATGCACAATTCTGTTGTTTCTCATCACTTTTCCAGGCAGTAGAGGAGTGAAATTTAACATTACCCACACAGTTCTGGTAAGCAGTGATGAAACAAATCAATCTGAAGATTATGGAGACAGTTTCACTGTATGGCACTTAGTTTCCAAAACAGTAGTAGCAAATTTTAGAAGACCTCATTGCCTCCATTCAGTTTGCCATGGTTACTTATTTTGTACCCATTGGGCTGCATCCACACAAGTGTGGACATTTGTTTCCCTGGGGATGGGAAGCAGTGGCACACTTCAGGGTTTTGCGGTCTTCCTCAGGGTGCGGCAGCAATGATTCTAATGCTGTGGAGCCTGGCCAGCAGCTGAAGTGTTGCTCTGGCCAGCCAGGCTCTGGTTTTGGGCAGTGCGCACTGCCCCTGCATGCATTGCTCCACCTTTTTCTTGGTGCAGGTTTTTTGGACCTTGGGATGTCCTGGGGTCAAAAAACCCATAGCAGCTCAGAGAACAGCTGAATGTGCAGTATGTGGTGCCACAGATGTGTCTGCAGTGCCACATACCATACGGTTGTGCTTGTCTGGACACAACCATGATGGCTCATTTATTTCCTTTAAAAACACTTGAATTTTATGATAGCTGATGTTTTTCAGTCTCTTCATGACAATTATAAGTGGATTCTTCAGATCCTTCTGTTCAGTCGTCCTTGCTGAGTTGAGAATTGTATGCAGAATATACATAATGGACCTGTTACAGTTTTCAGGATCTGAATCCGGTCTGATGTAAATTCAGTAATTGATGATATGGCCAGCTTGGTGGATCAGAAAGTAAGTGTGGGCAGCACCATTCCTTCTACATGTCTTTTTAAATTCATACACAAAGACATGTTTCTGTCTAAAATGTGAACTGCTTCACCTCTTTTGCTTAACTTTCTTGTCATCGTTCTGCTTCTCAGCATATTTGCACTTATGACAGAAATTGTCTATACAGAAGTGCAAATAGATCAGTCAGAATTATTTTAAATAGACTGACTCTCTGTTCAAGTCATCTAGTCGGATAATTACAGGCTTGAAACCTGCAAATTGTTACGCATCAGTGGATCCCTTATGTCTGTGTAGGACTCGGTATCTTCATGGAACAGCTGGTGGTACCAAAGTGTTTGATTTTTACCAAGTGTTTTTTCATTAATTTTATATTGGTGTCTGTTTCTGTTCATAATGCATTACTTTGTGCATGTACCCTATTTGATTAAGTGAGGTAGAGCTCACAAAAGCTTATGCTCTGTATTGATTTAGTTAGTCTATAAGGTGCAGATCTACCCTACCTTAGCCATGTTTGTCTGAAGTCAGGGAGCCCTACAACTCTGTTTCTTCAGTAAGCTTTTATCCTAATCTTATTTTTGTTATGTGCATTTTGTCTTTTTTTAGTAAATCCAGTATTACTGTGTAAGTTTGACCAAGCATTCTTTTTTCAACAAATTTATATGTTGTCTTTTCTTAATAGACAGGTGGCATGTTGGAGAGAAATGCCTTGCACCATTTCCTGGAAGTGAGAAACTTTGCGAAGCCACAATAAAGTCTATTGAAAAAGATAAGAATGGAAAGTCATTTGCATTAGTATCATTTTTGGACTCTGAAGAAAAGAGAATAGTAATAACGAAACTCTGTAAAGTCAAAGCTGATCGCTGGAAAAGCTTAATATTTGATGATGAAGATCTGGAAAAGCCTTATTTTCCTGACCGAAGGCTTCCATCACCTGCAGTTGCTTTTGAGTTATCTGAAAATGGAGACTGTATCCCTTATACAATTAATAGATACCTGCGTGATTACCAAAGGGAAGGGGTCCAGTTTCTATATGGACACTATGCTCATAAAAGAGGGTGTATTCTTGGCGATGATATGGGTCTTGGAAAAACAATTCAGGTATCATTTTTCTTTTTTACTTTTTTTTTAACGAGTAGCTAAAGTACGCCTTTATGAACCAAATTACATCTAAAGATTAACTATATTTTAAAGTCGCCTGTTTAGGAAGTTGAAGTTGTGTGTGTGTCTAGCTGGAATCCCAATACAAGTCCTATAGTTTCTGTGTTTTGAGAATTGCTACTCATGCATTGTAACACAAGTGAAATAATTCTTGCCTCATAAAAGTACTTGCAGCATCTTTCTGGACCATCACAGCTACTGTATCACTCTTATACTGCCGTAAGTATTTTTGACATTCACACAATGGCTTGCATTGTTTTTCACTTATTGTCAAGAAAAGAAAAATTTGTGCTGCTCTGAGAAGGACTGTATCTTTACTTCCATCTCTGGAGAGCTTGACCAGATTCATCCTATAATTAGCGCCAGACAGTTTTACTGTATTGTTGTCTCCCCATTAGAAATCCAAGTGTTTTGATTTTGGCTCCAGTCATTATAACTGAAGATGTGAGACAAAATCTTAATGCAAAAAATGGCAGCATTTTTCATCTATTTTGTATCAGGTGGATGGGATATTCTTTATCTTGTTTGAACTAGAGAATTTTTAAGTTAGAGACATCCTCCTCTTTCGTATATCAAGTTGCTGTGCTGTCATTGTCAGATTCCGGTCTGAGCTCCTGTCATCCATAAACTCAGGAATTTAGACTGACAATTTTCCTTGCTCCCCCCAGCATTAGAAGTTTCACTAACTTTATAAGCTTTTCTTTTTCTTTTGAAAAGAGAAAAACATTTGAATTTCTAAAATATCTTTTTAGGATAACATTCATAAACGCACCGAAGATTTACGTCTTCCTGTTGGTGCTGTATCATTCTCATTTTGAATGAAACTGAACTGCCTGATTTGCATTGTGCTCCAACCAACTTACCTTCCCCAAATTTCTTGCTTTTAATGTCAGTTTGAGAACTGATCAAGTGAACTCATAAGCAGCAGGTGTAGAAATTTTTGTATTTTAAATCACAAATACGTGATATTTGGCAGAAATTTTAAAGCCGCTCACATTTAAATAGCCATTTTACTGCATATTACCTTTTATTTGACTTGCTTACACTATTGTTAGCATTTTATGGTGTCTTGTTTATAGCACTTTCCTGCCTTCAGCTCTCTCTCAAAGGATGAGCAGTTTAGATTACATTTTTCATATAAAAATTGTCAGTTTGTTTTTTAATATATGAAACAAAGAATTGTCAGGTGTTTGTTTGTTTTTTTTTCCTTCAGCTTGATGGACCTGTTTTGCTGCTGTTTTTAAATAATCATCCAAAGAATGAAAAACAAATTGTAAGCAGGTTGGTGTCATTAGTCACTGTAAAGAAAATACTTTCATCAAGCTGAATGTAGAATTCCATCTCTAGTATGCTGCTAGTTTTTTTTGTAACTAATTTTGTTACAAATTTTGTTTGTTTTATTTGAATATTTTTTTCTCTTCAAAATAGAGACCAGGATTTGTAGAACCTTGATTATCCAAAAGCTTGCTCCCAAAGACCACAATAGAGCTGGGTAATAGTGACTAGCATGCTTGCAGTGGCATGTAACTGTCTGGAACTAGTTAAGTTAATTATTTGGTCTAGATGCTATAATGTGGAGAACACATTTATTTCCCAAATGATGGTGTGTATGTGTTTGTGTGGAACTGCCATGTGATGTTTGTTTTAATTGCTACATCAGGTTTAATGGAAGAAAGATTGTTTATTTTGGATAACTGTAATATATAGGAAAAATGTGATGTTCTTTGTACCCTGGTTTGAGATGCAGGGATATCAAGGTGTCCTATTTGTGTGTAGAAAATATTATGCTTTACGTATAAATAGGTATTGATTAAGTACTTGGTATGTATTGGGTAACTTAAAGCTCTCAACAACTCTTCATTATGCTTCTATATGTACTGAACTTCCATTTCCGTCTCAAACTATGATCTGATTTCTGGACTATGACCAGGCTTCTGGGGGCAAAAAAACCTAAGAATGTATGTAAGGGATGAAGTTTTATTCCTCTTTTAAAGATGTTTTAAATAGCAATAAACAAGAGAATGTTAAAAAATTATCATTGTAAACATTTTTTTCTTCAACAAGATTTACCTCCTCTTGTTCTTTTACATTGGCCAGTAGGACATTCTTGTTGCAGTGTTTCTTGGCCCCAGCTGTATAGTGTCCATTGTAAAATAGCACATACTAAAGAGAGCTTCTAAAAATGTGTCTTTGTCAATAAAGGAAGGATGTCATTCAAGTATTTACTCAGAATGATAGTGTGGTCTGTTGCTTCATGGACAAAATGCTATTAAGTCCTATGGCTAAGAAGATAAGATTGCAGACTGGAATACTTATTCTGGTTGACTTAATCCTTTCATAGTTTCCCTTATAGGCTTAATGCCAACTTTGTCCCATAGTGAATAATATGGTTTCTATAAATGATATTTCTTCTTCTCTTTTTATACTACATTCAATGCAGTTTATTATAACAGCTCACCACAGTGCTATAGCCAAGATGATCTTGACACTTTGTAAACTTTCCTTTGCAAAAGGTCACTAAAAATTCTTTTTAAGAAACAGAGTCAAACATGAAAGTTTCTTCCTACACTAAATTTCATTTAAATTGGTTTGGCTGGCTTATTTGGAAAGTTGACATTTAGATGGAGTATTGTATCAACTGGTGTAAAAATAGCATTGTTCAGGGGGGTTTTTCACTAGTGCTACATATTTAACATATTAAGGCCCTAGTTCTACAAACAGTTCTGCATGTTCATCTCTGCTCCTGTGTAGATTTCCACTGGAGTCAACTAGGTGAAACTGGCTCAAAGGTCTGCCTGTATGGGATTCAAGGTTTAAAGGGCAAAGCAGTTTTGTAATTCTGAACTGTTGTTTAAATCTCATCACTCTGTGTACCCTAGACCAGGGGTCAACAACCTGGGAATTGTTGCCTGAATCTGGCTCGTGGAAGCGGGGACTTTGGCAGTAGAGGGGCTTTTCCTGTTGTGCTATGTCACAGCCCAGCCAAGTGCTTCACCCGAGCCATACTGAGGCAGGGTAGCGGGGAGGAGGGGCAGCAGTGGCCAGGTCCTGGTGCCAGTCCACCTTCAGCCTGAGCTGGATCATTCCAGCCTGTTGTCTAGGACAGGGTTCTGAAAATGTTTTATGACATTTCAGCATAAAGATTATTGGGCACTGTCATCTGATAAAAATGTACATAAATTCAAATTTTGGGCAGCCATGCTCATTGTTGTGGATTGTAGGATTGTCTTCTATACCCTATCCACATTGAAGAAAGTTATGGGTAGTTTGCAGGCTCGTTTTCTTATATGTATATACAAGGCATTGAAACAACACTGACAACTTAGTGTTCTATGTGTGTACATTTTTAGGGGCATACTTCCTTGTCCTGCTATTTTCCATATTGAAAGGATTCTGGTGTACTTCCAAAAGAGGCCAAAACCGGTTAAAGGCCTGATGGGATAATAAAGTTTACAGACTTTTTTTCCACCCTATGTCCTTAAAATTTTAACTTTATAAGTAACTGCGCTATAATACAATTACGGAGTTTTCTGTGGGATGACCATACAGGCTGTAGCAGGCCGGAATGGCAAACAAAAATGTTCATTTTGCAGAGCTGATCCAGTATTGTTTCTTGAGGGCCTGTCTCTCTCATCTCTGTTTATAAGGTATCTAAGGTGAAAAGTCCTTGTACAAGTTTCTCCTTATGCAGTTAATTCTCTGGTTGCCTCCTGCTTTAGCTGAAGGAATAATAGGTTACTGTCATGTGCTAGTTTAATAGGGGTAATTTTTTCCAAATACATAGAGAGTCTGGAAGCCACTAGAGGATAGCATATATGTTGTTTTATTCCTGAAAGGGTTAAAAAATCCTACTGCTAAAATTTACCAAACACATACAGTTTCAGCAGCCTCCGCCTCCTCTGTTTATATGAATTGTCTGTAAGTGAGTTGTGTCTTTTCACCCCATGGCAGTTTCCTGTTCTTCTGATCCACCTAGTGGCTTTGCCCTTCTTTTGCTTCCTTTATCGCTGTCCTTTCTAGATATTTTTCTAATAGCTCAGGTCTCCTGGTTGGCTGCCTCTTGCCAAAACAGCAGCTGACAGCTTGAGCTCTATCCTGCTACAAACAGCTGTGAGACAGCTGCAAAGGGAAGGGCTGGAGCTGGCTACTGTAAGCAGAAGAGGAACTGATGGGCTTCATAAGGAAGAGTACCTCTAATGGGAACATAGCTGTCTCTTGCTGTTACTCAGCAGCCCTGGTGGGCTTTAAAATTTTGATTGTTCTGGCCAAACTGACAACTGTGCCTTTGCTTTTTGTTTATTCTGGATCGTCCCTAAAAGAGTTTAGAGTAGCTCAGACTCTGTAGGCCTTTCCTTGCCATAGAGTGTGTGTATTCCTATAACCAGGAAGGGGCAGAAGGTAATAAATTGCAGTTGAGTTGCCATACTTTATATCCCTTACCCAAAGCAGAAGGCTAATTCTGAAGCTAGCAGGAAGGATTTGGAGGTGGGCGGACAAGTAGGAGAGTATGCGCCAGGAATCTGCCAGATCTCAATTTAGACTCTTTCCTTTTCATTCTCTAGAAGAGAACTTTTGACTAAAGTTAGCTATTCTACTGTTCTCATCATCTCATTTCAGGACCTTATTTCCTCCCCTGCTTCCAAGGATGCTCATTAGAGTTTCTCTTAGCTGCTTCCATGGTTATTTTTTGCATTTTTCAGATATCTGTTTTCTTTTTTTTCCTCTACTACTTAATCCTTTTATCTTATGAACTCTCTTTTCCAGTTTGTCAAAGGTGTATCTCAAGGATGAAATCAACAAAAGCATAGGTTTCCAAGATCCTGCCCTAAATTTTTTGTTGTAGGTGTATTCAATTTTTGCTTGCATTTTCTGCATAATGACGTCAGACTGGATTCTTTTTCAAGGTCATTTCATTTCTGGCTGCGGTGCTGAACAAAAAGGGGACACGCAAAGATATCGAAAACAACATGCCGGAGTTCTTACTGAGGACTGTAAAAAAAGAGCGAAAATGTGTCCCTAAAAAGGTACAGCTTATAGTTGAAATTTGATTTTTATTTTTAAAAAAACAAACTTTTTTATTTTTAAATAAACACTTACTTGCCATAGTGACAAATGTTTGAATGTTTAGTTTCTATGCTTGGCTACCTAGTTTAGACATGAAAATACAGAAGTTCATGGATTTATGATGATGAAATTTGGCCTTCAGATTTTTAAACCGAGACAATAGTATGTAGACTTAACAATCACTTGACTAAAGTGTGTAGTGTGGAAATTCACAACAGGGAGGATGAAGCTGAAGGCAGGAGTAGGCTGGAAAGCCTTTGTCAAGCAAATGGAAACTAGTGATACATGTTTATGCTTTAATATGTGGAATTTTGCATACAGGATTTCATTAAAAGTAGTGTAATAGAAAGGCAAACACTTTGCCTGTGCTGCCTTGAGTCTTTTCTTGTAACACAGCCTTCTGCACTGAATAACTTTGATCCCAGAGTTTTCTATGGGACCCTACCTATTATTTATAATGCAAATGAGAGACAGTTTTATATTTGCAGAACCTGAATGTAACTCCATAGGTCAAATAAAAGGTGCATCTTGGATATGGCTTTTCCTTATATGAATTTCAGATGTGGAATGTTTTAGAGATTCACAGAAAAAGATTGCAATCATTTTTACAAGAGGCAAGAGTTGGGTGAACTAAACCTATGATGTTATGATCTATTGCTCTTGTGTTAAAAATGTAAAATTTGATAGATCTGATGGATCAGGGTGACATCACTACAAGCTAAAACATTTGTATGATTCAGCGTGTGGAATACTAGATAGGCAGTGACTTCAGACAAAGTTACATGTCTGCAGGATATCAAATATGAAGTAATGTTAGGATATGGATGTTTTATGCAGGTTCATTTAAAAAATGTGACTTACTTCCAGGTCATTTTTGATCTTCCAATACAGGGCTTGTGTGACTTTTTCTAAATTTCATTGGCTGTTTTCAACTTGATTGGGCTTGCGTGAGTTGCATGGAACATTTGAAACCTTTTCTTTAACAAAAAAGCCCAAAACAAACAAACAACAACAAAAAGTCTTGATGACTTCTTGAAATTTTATTCTGCCTTTTAAAAA